ATTCTTCTGCCTATTGATTTATTTCTCAGAGAAGCACTCTTGAGTTTTTCAGCCTAGTGATTCATTCATCCGAGAATCACTCCTGAGTTTTCTGCCTAGAGATTCATTCCAAATTTGCTTAGTGATTCATCCTTGAACCACTCCTGAATTTTCTGCTAATCAATTCATGGCCTTTGAGAATCATTTTAATATTTGTTCAATGATGATTTATGATTTATGCATATGAGAATAACCCCAAGTTTGTATTTGCTCTCTTTGAAGCCCCTCTTTGTTATAAATTCTTTAAATTAAGCAATACAAGTTGTTATAAATTTAAGGGCATCTTGAGTTTGAGGGAGAGTGTTATGGTATATTGAGATTTATTCTTTAGATTGAGGAATACAAGTTGCTAGATCAAGCAATACAACTTGTTAAGGGGGAGTATTACGATATATTATCTGTTGAGATTTAAAGATTATTTTGTATTCATTAATCCTTATAAATTATTTATTAGCTATTGTTAATTAAGGCTATCTATATATTGTAAGCTTTTCATATCAATATAGAATACGACATCTTTTCAAGTCTTTTTTTTTTTCCTTATCCGCTTAGTGTATATACATTTTATTGGTTTTAGTTTTTTCAATCGAATAATCTATCTATTCACCATATTTAAAACTATATTAGTTATGATTAACTTAGGTAGTGGGTACAAGTCTTCTTTAATTTGGTTTAACCCCACCCAAAACCAAGTTGTGTCTCCTAATGCTAATAAATTTACTTTTCAATCGCATTGAACATTCCATGTGTTGCGATCTATTGACCATTCACAGGAGCCTCTATTGCAGCCTCCTGGCTCCTTGCTTGGATTCCTTTTCCCTCTTTCATTCCACACACCATGCGGAACTCATTTCTTAGCATGCACAACACACCCCTTCGCTCCTTATTTAGCTCTTTTTTTTTTTTTTTTTATCTTCTCTCTTATTTGGTGATTTTTTTTGTTAATCCCTATAACATTTTTTTATTGATATGCAAACATATATTTCATATATGTTCTTCATGGCATCTATCTATGTTCTTTATTGATCAAGATATTTTAAATTTCAATATGAATTAGCCTCTAAAAAATATTGAAAGAACATAGAACATTTTGATTTTTCTCTCCAATATAAATTTCTTTTTTAAAAGATATTTGATCATTTTTTAATCTTCATAAAACTTATCTTAATATTTGGACAAATACTTAATATACTTATTTTAATTTATTTATCTATATTCTAAAATAAAATGTCCTAAATTTTAGTTTCAATTTCCTTTAAAAAGATTGTAGATGATTCTCATGCACATAAATGTACTTATAATCTTATTATTTCAAAACATATAATTAAAATGTTTCAATTTATTAACAATCAATTTTACCACGGTTCCATTAGTGAATCGTGATAACCATATCTCAGCTAGTTTAATGACTCGTTTGAACCTTGCTATTAACAACAATAAGAGAATCTAATTTCATGAAATTTTTTATGGATGAATAAAATAGTAATTTTATGAAGTTAATATTCTTATATCTAACTTAAATAATCAATATCTAAGTCATTATTAAATACTTTTGATTTTAGATTTAATTTTCTATAATAAATTAAAATAACTTGTAAATTTAATGTTAGTATAAATTTCCAAACGAATTACCAGAAGATAGTCAAATATATAAACTTCTCATATTTAATTTGGGCACTTTTTTATCTATGAAAAATTCAATTATTCTTGTTGAAACTCAATAATTAAATAATTTAATCATCCTCTTGTTTAAGTTTGGTTACATATTTTTTCTTATATTTAATTTTATCTAAGTTCTCATATTTTTTTCCATTTTGTTTTGTTTACAGGTTTATAATAATTAATTCATCTAAACTATAAAATTTTTGCTAATGATTAGAAATCAGAATTGAGAAAATATCCAAATTCGCTCAACCCTATATATATACACACTCCATCCGTTAAAAAATGTAAGACACTTTTTGAGGAGTTGGATGTTAAAAAATGTAAGGCATTTTTAGTTTTTTGATGTGTAATTATTGTCTTTTTTTTAAAAGTGTCCCATTGATGAATGACTTTATATTTATTGTAGGATGTTTAATAGGGATAAATATGAAAAGATAGTGTTAGTTTGAAAGCAGGTAACTACTTTATTAGGGGTGAGATTCGGTTAAAAATGTCTTATATTTTTTAACGGAGGGAGTATATATAACAGAAAGAGCCCAATTTTTGCTGACGTACGAGTTGTCAAGTGGTGTCAACTAGAGCAGAAACAAGATAATATATAATAAGAAATTTTTACTGGGGGTGCTCGATCCATCGAGTAGATTGAAGAATCAAAATTAAGCATGATGCCTTCGTGGACGGGTAAGAGTAAAAAAGGCAACAAAATGTCCCAAAATATCTCCATATGACTCTCATTTCGTGTAACATGTGCAGTTAGCGGAATTCATAGTCAGATTCCACACCTTTGGTCCAACCAAACCTCTTTCACAGATCAATTTTTCAGCACTGGAAAAGTTTCGATTAGTATGAAGCCGAACTTTGAAGATGCATGTGGACCCAGTAGCAGCAACTGCTGATGATTGACCAATTAAAAGTTTATGGAGGAAGTTCCAATATTATTGTGGATTATATTATTCTGTTATTGATTGGTTGAATCTAGGAGACTGCACGAAGACAGGGTACAGCGTACCTCCTCCACGTACGTTTGTAACTGAATTGATCAACGAAGGTGTGGGGTTTTGTCGGGATCTGGTGATCTAGAATACAAAATATTGATTCTCCAGTTTTCCGCCATGTAAAAGGAACTCAGGTCCCGATTGATTGGTAGAATGGAATGGATTTGGAAAAAAAATGTTAAAAATAAGATGATCAAAATGTGAAAGGGAATAGGTAAACCATATTTATAAGAAAGAAGAGTAATTTAATTCATGGGATCGGGAGTCTTAATATAAAATAAATATTAAATTAGTTATTCTATGTTATGAATCTTAGGGAACTTTACATGATTAATAAGTTTAAAAGGCTCTTTCATTTAACATGTTAGTTTTTTTGCATAGGCTAACATTGATTGTTTCATGGAGAGGTCAATCACATGGAGAGAGATACTACAAAGGATTCTGATTGGCAGAAGGCTAAGTTAAGTGCCATGGAATAGAACCGACTTTCAAAGTAAGGGGCAAGCTCTCCTTTCTAACATACTAATATTTTATAATGTATTTTTTCTTTGAATTTACTCCTGCCAATATATAAATTCATGGAGACAACCAATAATAAATTTTTTTAAGGTTACATTTTCTTTCTAATTGTGTTGTATGTATGACTGCATAGATTTACTATTTTGTAACATTTCATTAACAAAAGTGTAGAATTGTAGCCTCATCAATCCCTATAATATTTCCCTAACCTTCAAGAAATAACTTTCTTTTTTTGTTTGTGAATCTTCAAGAAATATTTTAATCCTTATAATTTTATTTTTCAAAATGTAAGGGCCATTGATTCCAAAAAAAATAATAATAATAATTGATCTGATTCAAAAAAAAATAAGGGTCAATATTTTAAATAGTTAAAAATATAGAGATTAAGTTGCATAGAGTCAAAGTAAAAAAAAAAATCTAGATTAAAAGGAGAAGCTTATAAAAATATAATTTAATTTCAAGAGATGATTGAAATTAATCTCAATATTCTTCTGCTGCATAACCAGCTAATGCACATTCTCAATATATAGGCAATTGATCTTGTTTAAGAGCATGGTTAGATAATAAATGTAAATAACTTTTTTTAGCATGGATTCGAACTTTTATTTATAAAACTTTCATATAATGTTTATACAAGTGAGTTAGTGCTACTTTGGGATAAACGGCCAAGTGATATAATTAGAACAAGCTTTACACCCAAAATTAATATTATCAAATATTAAGACAATTAATATACAATATACATATAATATTAAGGGAAAATAACAATTAAGGACCCTCTAAGAACATTAACCCAATTAAAGACTATAACATTTTAAAATCCCAGTTAAGGACCATGGTCTTTAATTGGGATAAAAAAATGTAGTTTGTAAGGTGAAATTCACTAATGCTACTTAAAAATTTACTAACCCAACTTGAGAAAATTGTTAATATATATTGTGAAAACGTGAAACTCCACTTAGGAATTGATTGTTTAACAAAAAGCGCCACTTGAGAATTCACTAACCCGACTTGAAATTTTTTTAATGTATATTGTGAAAACATGAAAATCCACTTGGAAATCAATTATTTAACAAAAAGTGATACTTAGAAATTTACTAACTAAACTTGAAAAAATTTCTAATGTATATTGTGAAAAAATGAAACTCCACTTAGGAATCGATTATTTAACAAAAAGTGACTTGTCTAAATTGGGGTTTTTTGTAAGAAAATCGATTCTTAATGGGGTTTTATATTTTTATAATATACATTAAAAATATTTTCAAGTCGGATTAGTGAATTCCCAAATGGCTCTTTTGTTTAAAATAATTTATTCCCAAGTGGGGTTTCATGTTTTCACAATATATATTAGCAATTTTCTCAAGTTAGGTTAGTGAATCCTTAAATGGCATTAGGTAATCCCACTTCACAAGCTACATTTTTTTTGTTCCAATTAAAGACCATGGTCCTTAACTAGGATTTCAAAATGCTATGGTCTTTAATTGGGATTAATATTCTTCGAGGGTCCTTAATGGTCATTTTCCCTAATATTAATAATAAATAAAAGAAGATTTCTTCTTCCATTAATTTCTATGTGGGTCTATTCTCATCGTATACATATTTATTATTTTAGCAAAGTTGTCAATGGATGCCATTTGCAAGAAAGATCTCCTCAACCTAAAGGGCAATTAAGTAATTTCTGAATAGCCTAAATTATCCTATAAATTGCTCTGCTTGATGAAGTCTGGAATATGCGCTTCAGAAATTTCATTCAAGTTCTCAGTTTCAATGGCGAACCAACTACGAAATGACAAGACTTGGATGGCAAGTGTGGTGTTCTGCTTCTTGATGTTGTCTTTGGTTGACATGACAAAGGCAAGTCAAGATACAGTCACTCAAGCTAAGGAACTTGAGGTTCAAAAGCTTTTGGATAAGTTGAACAAACCAGCCGTTAAGTCTCTAAAGGTACACAATTCATCTTGTTCCACTAGTTTTGATGATAACTCGCATTTTAATTCAAATATTGCTTCGGCTTACAAGTAGGGACGTACCCACATTGAGCATAAAGGGGACAATTGTCCCCACTAAACAAGCAAAAATTGCATTTGATTTTTAGTTAAAATTATATTTGTCCCCCTTTAAAATTACAATTGTCGCCCTTTGAAATTATCAAGTACACATACTTAAAATATTCTTTACTCTTATATTTATTATTAAAATAAATTTATGATACAAATGAAACTAGCATATATTTTTAAACTTTCATATAATTTATTTATATGTTACTTTAATTCATATTTAGAATTATATTTTCTTCAAAAATATCAATATTTATATTTAGCTTAAATATTGCCCATGTGATAAATTTTTCTGGGTCCGTTGCAAGATAACCTCAGCACTATTAATTTAAGTATTTGATCTCCTCCATGTTTGCAACGTTGGGAGTGAAGAAAGATGAGCTTTCAGAGTGAAACAAGAGCATAAATATTTAATTTACATGCACTTGATGGTTGATATTATTTACTATATAAAACATAATTAACCAAGCAATTGGTGGTATTAGAATTTTGCATAATCACAGATTAATTCTTAATCACTTACACCAAAAAAATTAGAAGGATTCACTATGCATTTATGTAGTTTGATTGATTTTCAACTGACTCAAAGTGAGATATAATATATCTAATATTTGTTTACTATTTTTTATTTCATTGCTTTTCTTTTCTTTTTCCCTTTTTTAATATCATTTTTTTTCATTTGTTAGCAGCTATTCTTCTGAGTTTCACTTTAGAAGAAATTATTTTTGGAGTTTATAATTTATGGTTGATTTGGTTAACATTTGGTGTTAAAAAAACAGAGTCCTGATGGTGACATAATTGACTGCGTACATATATCGCATCAGCCAACTTTTGATCACCCCAAACTGAAAAATCACAAAATTCAGGTAAAATAGTTTACGATTTTGTTTTATTGGATTTTCTAACTCATGAATTCGGAGGCCAATCATTTTATATTCAATGAAGATGAGGCCAACATTTCTTCCAAAAGGAATAAAAAGTTATCCAGAATCAAAGACAATTGATCAAATGTGGCACCAAAGTGGAAGTTGTCCTGAAGGAACCATTCCAATAAGAAGAACAACAAAAGATGACATCATGAGGGAAAGCTCTTTCCAAAGATTTGGGATGAAGGACAACATGAGCATCCCTAATTTGTCTGAATCACTCTACTCTTCCACAAATAACCATGAGGTACTTATAATATTAGAAAATGTAAAATATATTTAACGTGCTGTGCAAAACCTTATTGTTTGTAAGCAAACATCAAACTATAGGGCTTTCTACAGCGACAACATATGAAGTGTATATATTATACACTTCTCATGAAGAAGCTTGTTTGTGTGTTTTAGATTTGCATATTAACTATATTATTCTTGTTTCTTTGATTGTTCTGTTGCCCTAGTATGCCACAGCTGAAGTGGTGAAAGATATATATTATGGAGCCAAAGCATTCTTAAACATTTGGAAGTCGAATGTTCAACAACGCAATGAACTCAGTCTGTCTCAAATTTGGGTCATGAATCAAGGTGATAATAATAATGTGGAGAGCATCGAAGCTGGTTGGCAGGTATTCTATAGTTTAATTTCTTTCACATCACATGCACGCACGCGTACACTTCAAATATTTCTTCAAGAAATATATTGCTGTATCTCTGTCTAACTCTGGTTAATTATTGTTCATATATCTGCAAAACTAGATCCATCCAATGCTATATGGGGATGATAGACCAAGACTTTTTGCATATTGGACGGTAAATCCAACCAATTTCTTGTTTCTTCAAATCATTCTCTTCATTATTTTTTAACATATATGTTTATATATATTGCATTCAACAGAGTGATTCATATGAACGTACGGGGTGTTATGATCTAAAATGCTCTGGCTTTGTTCAAGTTACCAGTGTAGTAGTACTGGGCGGAACCCTTGCACCAATATCTCTCTATGATAGTACTCAATACGGAATCAATCTCCTTATTTGGAAGGTACCTCTTTTTTTCTTACAAAGAACATAGATCCCTTAAAAAAAAAAAAATACTTTCATGTGATATTTTTAGAAATGGGGAGCTACTGCCTAAAAACGAGTGAGAGAACAAATGGGCAATAAATAGTGGAATGACACATCCCACTTTATCTCTCTCACACATTGTTAGAAATGGGGAAAACACATGGCAAATTAGTCAATTGTTAAGAATCAAGAGCGACTGCTTGGAATAGGAGGAGAGAAAACAAATGGCCCATGAGTAATAGAAAGACACGCCATCTGAACCTGAAAATTGAAGGGTCTATTTTGATGAGTCATCAGTTTTATTATATATTAGTTATTGAGTCCAACATTTTATTTGATGCAAGACTTCTCATCATATTGGTTAAAGTTTACTTACACTTGGACCACCTAACATATATAAATCAAAACAACTCATATGGCCAATAACCTTGATGCAATATGCAATATGTAATTGAAGAGTGATAAAGATATAGTCGTAAATATAATTCAACGCAAGAGCCTACAACATCAAGCTTTGATCTCTTCAGTTGTTCTTGTATATGTGTACTATGTTGTTAGAGAAGATCCTATAAATAAACATGATAATAATAATCATGAACAGGATCGAGGAACTGGGAACTGGTGGCTGCGATATCAAAATATAGTTGTGGGATACTGGCCAGCTTCCATGTTCGAGAGCTTGTCAGCTGAGAGTGCAACAGTAATACAATGGGGAGGTGAGGTGATAAACAGGAAATCTAATGGCAGACACACAAGTACAGAAATGGGAAGTGGCTATTTCCCTCGTGCAGGGTTTGGGAGGGCAAGCTATTTCAGGGACCTTTCCGTAGTGAATGAAAATTATTATCTCATCAGCCCTAATTACATCAGAGGTTATGCCAGCAAACCTAGGTGCTACGATATAGTCCTCAATGGCTATTCTAGTGATTTTGGGGCCCACTTCTTCTTTGGTGGTCCCGGAAGAAACCCATACTGTCCAATATAAGCACTTAAATGAAGAAGATATTATATGTATGAGGACTATGAAAAGTCTAAAGCTGTCTATGTGAAGGAAATAAAGGCACTGTGTCTGTAGCCTTATCACTGGTACTATATATAAGGCCTCATGCAAGGGATATATTGTATGTAAGGCCTGATAAAATAAGACTGGCCGGAGAAAATTTCAATGCTCTGCACTATGTAGTAGTGTTTTGTGTGGGCATTGTATGATTTCATATTGTATAATGTAATGTTATTCGGTGTTTGATTATGCATGTCGTGTGATTTTACCTTGGATGGGATGAAAAGTAAAGTTTGATCATCAAGGAGTAACACTGACGGGGAAAAAATAAAGACGGATGTAATATATTATTTGGCTCAAATGATCTCATCAGCCTTTTTATGTGTGATTGAAAAACGAATGAAGTAAAATCTAAACCATGAGAAGCAAAACAAACACCGATAAGAACACATTTTGATGTTCATAAATTTTTAATTAATTGGTGATTTCATACGTAATGGTTTTTAATTTAGTTAGTACTATTATTTTATTATTTATTTAATCATTTTAACTTGTCAAAATCAATTGTTACAGTTGCTTTGTCATTATAGATTTAAATATTCTTATCATTGAAGCTATATAGAACTTTTATTCTAAGTTTACAAATTTATTTACATTGAATTACTTTCTCTTTAATTTATGTAATTATTGGATTTTATTCATTTTGATTTTACAAAACGTCATGGTTGGGACGTTATCCACTGTAAATTATTTTTGATTTCAGATGGCATAGCTGACCTTGTACTCCATCAAATCAGTGAAGAGATTTTCCTTTTGGATTGAAATTGAGACGTCATTTTGGTTAACCTCTATTTTGATTTAAAATCATAATTTATATATTGTATCTCTATAAATAATGTTTTAAGTGCTCTACATAGACTATGGTTAGGATCCTTATTCGGTTACTTATATTGTTGGTCTGTAGATAGGAGTTGAACTTCCTATTGCTATATTGTGTGAAAATGTTCTTATAATATTTTTGAAAAGTTCTATTCTCAAGGAAGGTGTTGTTGGATTTCTACAAAAATTTATGAGTTTGGTTATCATAAAAGGAATTTTATTAAATAACTTCACTTTGTATGATAGATACATTTATGATTGCAGTAGGCATTTCTCGAGTTAAGATTTAAGAGATGTAGTTTATGCGGGTATTCCTTGTCGGTCACTCCTTTAAATCTTGGGGCGTGTCAATGATAATAAAAGAGAAATTCATTAAATAATGATGTTCATAGCATAATGATTGGCTCTAGAGTACAATTTCTAATATATCATTCCTTAACACATTTCTTGTCGACAAGGATATCATCGAAGCGCTTTTGAGTTGTGAAAGAGTGAAACAAGAAACTATCAAAAGGTATACTAGAAGTCTCCCCTTTCTTTTGCCTTTTCCTAAGAGGCATCTTATAGTTGCAAGAAACCAGCACTTACATAAAATAAAGAAAGAAAAGCACATAAAGCAAGGCAAGGAAAGTGGAAAAAAATCAATAGTCCACTTAATTAGATTAGAGAAACATAGCAAGTAAAGAACCTGAGCAACAAATGAAAACACAGAAGGGAGAGAAAAGCAACAACCCCCTTTATTTTCAACAAAGTAACCAACGCTGAGTACAAGGACAAAGATCATTTTCAATAATGCCTCACAAATTATTGCCTCAAAATAACCCTAAAGAATTCATTAGGAAAGTTAAAACCATTTTCAACATGATAGCACATAACCCCTAACCAATTAGAGAACTTAGACACCCATCAAACTATTAGAAACTCAGCAACAGTCCTTGAGTAAAATGTCTTTGAAGGCCATATAAAAATGAGCAACAATATCAGCGAGCAATCATTTGCCATCCAAAACAAAAAACTGAAGCCAAAACAAGCAGAAAAGTGCACATATAACTCAATATAGTAACCCAGAACAGTTGTATATAAAGAAAGATAAATCTGAAGCTCAGAAAAATAATACTTTAAAAATGAATCCGAACAAGAAAAGGGATCATGGCCAAAAATTTAAGTTTGAGTGATCAAAAAATCTAAGAGTGAAGCTAATATAGTGAAAACAAGTACCAACAACACACCAAAACACTACAACTAAATAGAAACAAAAGAAAAGGAAAAAAAATTCATACCTGATCGCAATGGAGAAAATGGAATGGATGACAATGGTGAATAAACTCAAAAGAAGGAAAGAAGGGGAGCTACAACTTTACCAAGTGGAATAAAGAAACTCAATTAGAGAGGATCGAAGAGGTGAGTGAACTGTGAAACTTGAAGAAGGAGAACGCGATTACCCTTGATAGATGTCAAGGCCTGAAAATATAGGGTGATCAGCACAGGATATGAACCCTATCATATATCCCTTAAGCCGTAAATTGAGAAATCCTTTCATTTTTAAAACATAGTTGAATTTGCACCAAAAATTATGACATACTTAATAGAAATCAATATAATAAAGTTTGACTATTTTTGTAGAAATTTCGGCAGAACCTCTCCTATAAATAGGATTTCCTGAAAATTCTATAGCACACTATTTTACATAAAATATAGTATCAATTAAGAGCATCAACTCCTTCTAGCCAGCAATAACATATATCAAAATAGCAACCTAGTTATAGGCTATGTGGAGCACTTAACCTTACTTCTAAAATAAAATACATGAATTCAAATATTTACATTAAAGGAGTTAATGCTAACAAAAATTCCACCTAGAATAGTTGTATGCTCTTTAGAGGTCAATAGTAGGATCATCAAATAATAAAAAACTGAGACCACAATATTTCCAGTGAATAGAATCCTTACAATAAATAATTAAATGTATATAAAAAGAAAGTTTAAAATAATTGTGTGTGCTATAGACAAAAATTTTCGCAAACAAATATTTAATAAACTTCAGCATAAAAGGGCTCTATGTAATATTAAATAAAATCTTTATTTATTAAAAGTATCATATCAAACGTCATTATCATTTAATTTTAATAAAGTAAATAATTGCATTAAATAATTATAAATACGTCACTAATTAAAACCAATGAAAAGTAAATCTTTCAAATAATTAAAACTCATAATTACAGGGATTTATCAGAACAAGTAACAAACGTGGACACACAGTCTATGTGGGTAAATAACCAAATGCAACCTGAGTTATGAAACAAATATGGACACACAGTCCACGAGGCTAAACTAACCAAATGCAGCTCGAAGCTATGAAATCAAATACAAGTATTAGACTTATGAATAATAAACGTAAGAACAGAGCTCATGAAATTCAAACTAGCTAGCCATTAGTCAAGGTGCCAAGGGTTATCGAAACTACAGTTAGCAACCAGTGTTTTGAATAAAGTCCATTTCAAACCCAATTTCAAACATGTAAGAAAATATCTACCATTAGAATAGAATTTTCAATTTCCATGTCAAACTCACATGAATTATTTTTCATAGCAATTCAATAATTTTCATAATGAAATCCCATAATTAGAATCCAAACTTGTATTTACTGATTAACTAAAATTATCAAATATGGTAAAATAATTTCATGAAATAAAGTAATTTAATCAACAAAATATCTAATAATCACACTGTTGTTGTAAAAAGAATTTGCATAAAAATGTAATATTTTAGTAAAAAAATTTATTAAAATATCAGTTAGGACGTTATCCACTTACATGAAATTCACAAAGTTCAAAATTTCCCACTAAACTTCAATCAAATCTATCCTCTTCCAAATACCTTATAAATGATATTAGAAATTCTTATTAAATATTCAATCAATATAATGATTCCTTTCAATCCCCAGCACCATCAATATTGAACTATAATACATTTGAAACTTTAAGAAAATCAAGACATCACACTTTAAAGTACCTATTAGCATTTAGTCAAGGCATCAAATATATATATATCTCACTTCCAACCCACTCATAAAAAAATATAATATTCATATATTTTCTCAATAAACTATCCATTCCCAAAAATTCCAATAATCAGGTATTAATTATTTTATAGTCAAATCTCATTTGCAACTTTCAAGTTAAATTTATAGGTTAATAATATTTAAGCTAACTATACTTCCCATAAGAATCAATGAAATTTCAAAATTAAGTTTAATTCTCCTAACAAGCATTTCAACAAAGACCTTACAAGCACCGATTTTCCAATTTCATGTCTTAGCTCTTCTCTTCCAACATCATCTTAACCAAATCTTTAAGATTAACCAATCCAAAAAAAAAAAAAAAATGAATTCAGCTTAAATATTTTGAGCCATATATATGCCATTATTAAGCTTCAATATACACTCCAAGCTTAAATCTGAATTATTTTCCTCTCTACAACAGTATAGGTGGCAGCAGCAGAACACAATAAAATGCTGTAACTTCATGCACAGCATAGCAACAGCAGAACATACACTCACAAAGCTAACAAGAAGAAGAAGATGAATTGAAGGCTTCTCACCTTGGGCGGTCACGACACCTAAGCAAGAAGAGGTAACGGATCTACGGTAGAACAGGGAAGAAAAATCAACGCTGCTACACACTACAGGGAGGAGAAAAATCGACGAAGCTTCCACAGTCTTCACCAGTGACAAAGAGTAATGAAAGTGAAGGGGAGGAAGGAAAAGAGGTTCGACGTGCTTGAAACAATGACAGAGCCTGAGGAATGGTGGTGAAACAGAGGAAGAACTTACAGCTGTGTTGGACGAAATGGCGACGGGCACACTGATGACGGTGACTCACACGAACGACGGGCAACCAGCGATTAAGAAAGGAAGAATGTAGAGATTGACAGGTTACAGGACAAGGGTTTTAGGTGCTGTTTACTCTCTCTCTTTGCAACTCTAGAGTGGGATCGAAGATGAAGAAGAAATGAAAACAATAGGCTGCACATGTGTTCTTGACTTTTGATGCCTTACTTTTCTTTAGGGGTGAAATAGTAATTTCGCCAGGGTTTGAAGGCTAAAAAAAATTTCCTCATGTCATTTGCACTAAGGGTTCAAACTCTAAACCTCTTTGATAAATGGCAGAGTATTGTCCACCAAGCCAACACTTCTTGTCGTCATAATTGTCCCAAAAATAATATAATTACAATTAAAATGCAATTTTATTATATATTAAATTTTACTTACATTACTGGATTATTATAGTACAGAAACGCAATGCAGGGCACTCAATGGTACGAAAGGAGATCATGGTGGAGATGAACAAAATGCGAACTAGGGTTCAGGAGGACTAAACAATGGC